GTTCCAAGAAAACATTATGGATTGAAAACTACCTAAAGAAGTTCCAAAAAGTATAAAGGGTTAAACAAAATTAATGTCAAGTTATTTCTCACTAAGTGCTTCTTGACACATCTGTCTCTTAAGCAAAGTAACAATTGTTAACAGGGAGGGAAAGAGAAAGTTAGGAACAAAGGTGATTGCAGAAGGTTATACCAAAAGCATTTATGTTTGAAGCATTATGTCCTTATACAGCTCTTATGCAGTGTTTTGTCTTTTCTTCAGGATTCATTTTTTTTCTAGAATGGTTCAGATCTTTCAGAATAAGGAATAACTTTAGGATGGTACAATATACACCAGGATAAATGAAATGAACAGTCTGTGATAAAAGGATGAGGTTCCCTAGAGGGCTGTTCAAAAGTGATCACTTCCTTAAGTTACCATAGTCACTTATCTAACATAACTTTCAATCTTCCATTTATGCTTAAGGCAGAACCCAGCGGTCAAGTCAGGAGCATCAGTCAATCATCTTTTTTATCTCACAGATACTGGTGTATACAATACGACCCATTCCCATATCCTAGCATTGTTCTCTGTTAGTTTCAATCATTTACTCTTAGTGAAAAAGTACAAATAGATACTGCTAGTTTCTCTAAATATCACTTCAGAATGAGAGTACTGCATAGAGGAAATAATGTAAGGCCCAGCCCTATACAGTTTGCTTTTCAGGCACTTATTTGAACTTGGGATATATGAGAAGGAGTAAGGCAAGTCTATAAAGCACTGTGCTTTATAAAGGTCACACCCTTATGATCTTCCACTTTCCCCTACAGCCCAGTCAATCATCTCGGCTTTAGGAAATAGACCAGGTTCAAGTGTTGGGACACAATCCCTATGTAGGTATCAGCATCTCCATAATAGAGGTATTACATCACTTGGACACAACTGCCCAAGGAATGGCACAACTGGGATGCCACAATAGAGAAGGCCCTTTCTCTTGTCCTTCCAGAGGTGCATTGCCCTACTGTGGGAGACAGAGAAGGCCTCCTCCAGCAGACCTCACACCTCAGGTAGAGATACATGTGACAAGATCCCAAGCCATTTATTGTTTCTGTCTGAAGCTGACACTATCATGGGTGCTTCTTTGTAAGATGTGTTCAGAGGGGATTTGACATTGCCTTTCTCTAAGGCTGACTTGCCTAAGATCACCACATTGTTTCTATGACTGAGAAAGGGTTTGGGTCCAGTCCATTACTTAAACCATACCATACTGGTTCATGAAACGCATTATACACTCTCTATAATCCTAAACCCTGAACAAGAAAACTCCCCTAAAAATAAAAAAGAACCAAAATCATTGAATTATTTAGCATTGTTGATTTGCGTTCCATAGATGACTGGACATAATAAGCTTTTTCATTGAATCCATAACAGTCACTTCCAATAATGGAAATTAAATACAGATGGTGGATTCCTGCAATAAACTTTTAGATGTGCCAAAAAACCTATTAGTGAGCATTTTATAGCATGTAAGCAGAACTGCGTACATCAGAAGAAACACATCAGGAAATCACACACATGCAGGGACAGGGAGACAAAGAAAGTCAAAGAAAGGTTTGTGTGATGCATTTTTATGTTATAGTTCTAAACAAAAGTGTAGCTAATTCTTGCAGACCTGTTATTCTTCAGTTGTGCAATTTTTTAACAAGATTGTTGATGATTTTATTTTCAGACAAGGTTGTAAAACAGCTACACCTCGTGGAGGAACATGATAACAGCTGAAGTATTTTTAATTGGCTCACTATTTATTTTAGGGATATAATACGTTTCAGAAGAAAACAAACTCTCTCTGAAAAAAATCTTACCAAGAAAACCTTGTGGTAATTTTGCCTAGGGCCATCATAACGTAGAAATGACTTGAAGGCACAGAACAACACAGACACAGAACAAGTAAAAAGCAGTAGCCCTCCACTAATAAAGATATGTGCAAGAAAGAGGTCTAGGACTAACTTTTAAATATACTGAAAAAATAGAATGTTTTCTCCAACATCAGTGCTGTGTCTAGATTGAAAATGGGTTTGTTACACTTCGATAGCGTGTTCCTGAATGACAGGAGTTGGTCTGGATGGTCTCTTTCAAGCTGATCTTTCTATGGTGCTATGATCTTCCCTCTTTCCATACTTACCATTAGTTTTGAGCTAAAGGAACACTGCATGGCAAATGAGAAAACCTGTATGCACAGCAAAATATTAAGTGAATGCCTTTGGCAATTTGAAATGTTACAGATTATGTAAGCAAAAGCTTCAGAAGTGTTCAAACACTCATTATCACTGGTTATTACTGGAGCTCTTAATGTACCAGTACCTGTATTCTGAAGCTAATTCCCTGGACCTTCATCATACAAGTCGAGCCCCCGGTGGCGCAGTGGGTTAAACCTAAAGACCAACAGGTCGCAGGTTTGAATCCGGGGAAAGGCGGATGAGCTCCCTCTATCAACTCCAGCTTCTCATGCGGGGACATGAGAGAAGCCTCCCACAAGGATGATAAAAACATCAAATCATCAGGGTGTCCCCTGGGCAACATCCTTGCAGACTGTCAATTCTCTCACACCGGAAGCGACTTGCAGTTTCTCAAGTCACTCCTGACACGACAAAAAAAAAAGTGGCGCAGTCCTTTCATGAGACATCTTGATCAATGGTTTTCAAAACAGTTGAAAAATTAGGATTGAAATGGTTGTTAAGGGAGGTGTCAAAGGAAACAAAGCCTTTGAATGCCATGCTCACAATTGAATACAATTTCTTGTTGGAACACATCATTGTTCTGCTTTTGATCTAACCCACCATCACCCTGCACCACCTGTAAAGTAGAAAAGGAGAGCTTGGGATTCTGTTTTGTTTTTTTCCTCTTCTGTCTTTTTCCTTCCAAGTTCACCAAAGAATATGTAGTAAATCTATGAGAATTATTGCCACAAGATTTAGCAACTTTAAATTTTATTTATAGTACAATTATATTGTAGTCTTGCATAGCTAAATTTTAGTGGTATGTTTTAATTTTTGTAAAATGCCTCAAATCCCAGATTGTGAGACAAATTAAGGAGGAGAGGGTGAATAAGACGAATTCAGAGATAGTAACGTGATCGTGCTAGATATTTGAGCTGATAGTTTAGATCTGTCAGTCTCCACTCTGAAGGATCACTGAATTTTAAACTCAAGTCTTGTGTTTCAATATTTGTGCATTTGAATAGGTATTTTATAGAATGTTTACAATTGTTATGTGTAATCTGCTTCGAGCCTTTATTATTATTATGCTTCTGGCAGTAGTGGAGTGGGGTCTCCCTGAGGAAGACTTAGTGGGCATTGGATGTGTGATCAACCTCATTTCTCCTCTATGCCTCGTTCACTGTGTATATATAAATACAGGTATTTCAATATCTGGGAAGTGAAGGGAGGGGGATTTAAAATCTGAAAAACTTCTGGTCCCAAGAATTAGACAAAAGAGACTCAATCTGTAGTGAATCTATTGGAGACAAGCTTCAAAATTCAAGCACTAACAGAACAGAAATCCCATTGTGGAAACGTTATACTCTGAACTGAATTTCTGGTAACTACTTTAATCCGGAATTTGCAGAGCAAAGGGCAGCTCAATCACGTCTACTAAATGTGTTTAGGATAACCACATCTCTTAGATAGCAGCACTTGCTATCTGCTCAGCACCCATCAGGTGTAGAGAACCTTTGCTTGTTATATTGCTTCAAGCTGTGGAACCGTTTGCCTGCTGTAATAACAGAATAAGACCAGGGTTTGTCTATCCCATCTAAACAACCCACCTTCATAATATTTTGTTTCAGACTCACCCTATTGTAACCACACCTACCTGTAACAGAATGCACTGGAAAGTTGCTGTCCATACTCCAAAGTCATACAGGAACTGTTTTTATTCTCCTTCTCCTCTAAAGTGATTTGCTATTGCCTTCCTTTCTGCCCGGGTCTCCCATTTCCCAGTCAAACACCTTCCTGGCAGAGCCCTGCTGTGGAAGTCAGAATGAGCCATGTGATCAACAGTGGAAGTAGCCTGATCGACCCTCTCATCACTGATTTCATGTCAGGAACCTCAGGCTGAGCAACTGACTCCCCCAGTATGGCTGCGCCACGAAGCTCTTTGGCTGGGAAGGCAGTGGGTAGCAAGACAAAAATGATGTGGTACTGTAATTTCCACCCACTGACTGAGTTTATGACAGATTGGGATGTTTATTCATGGAAGAGAACATCAACACTAGGGTCAGAACACAAGTGCCATCTTTTTTGGACTATCAGAAGAAAAACCTCACAGAAATGTATTTACAGAAAAAAATCTAACAAAAACAGGACTGAATTGAACTGAGCTGTTTCTCAAAGTGTTAAGTTATCATAGGGCTCAATTGCAAGAAGTATCCCAGCAAGGCAGCAACCTATTACAATAAATGATGCTATGATTTTAGTTAGAAGCCCCTGCATTGTTTCACAGGACTTATTATTTTCATTCCATGCAGTGTGTATGTCATCATCAGGAGATCCTGTTAACAGCTATTCTGATTTATTACTTCCTAAGAAAGAACTCCCTAGAAATGTGCTCTGTGCAGATCAGCTACTTAGAGGCAAAATGACTATTACGGAATTCAGGCAGAAGTAACATGAGCAGCCACACATGGAAAATGCAATTTACATTTACTGAGCTTTTCATAATACATTTGCATCATTTTAGAAACCAATATGCTACTGAAAGAGGAAACGGAAACACAAAATGTATTTGAATTTATTGCTTTTTATTAATAATATTGCTCACTCTGGCCAACACGCTTTTTAGTTTGATAAGATTCTGAAATCATAGTTTGGTCTTAATTTGTACTAATTTTTTATATAAAAAAAATCAAACTCCCCTGGCAGTTTTTAAAGATCATTTGCATGGCTGCTCTTCCCACTTCTGTCATTCTTCACTGGTTTAACGCCTTCCATTTACTTTCTCTTGAAAAATGCACAAGACTCAAAGACTGTTCAACAGATTTACTCAAAATGTACTCTTAGATGCCCAAGAGGGAAAAAAGGCACAGTTTAAAAGACTCCTGTGGATCCTGAACAGCATACGGGGGCTTTTGCTTGTGGCAAACCAACAAAAATACTGCTATGAATCATTTTAGCTAAGAAATTGAAACTTTTTCTCCCTTATCATAATTGCCTTCATTAAAATGGAACTTAAATTTCATAATAAACAAACTTTAAGAAGGTTTCTTTTTCCCTTGTGTAGAGTCCTCTACATACAATGCAATGTCTCATTTTACATTAGCTGCAAACTATTCCAGTAGCACTGGAAAAACTGTGACCCACGCAAGTCCCAAGACCTCTCTGTGCGCCCAAGCACTCAGTGCTTTCCCCCTCTCCGTCAAGGCCAGTCAAAAGATAGGAAGGACTGAAATCCAGCAGCCCGATCCATTCAGATGTAGTCATCCTCAACCGGTTCCCCATTGACATCGCAGTAATGGATGAAAATGGCTACCACCCGCTGGAATACGCCTCTTTTCATTTGACGTAGTTCAGAGATCTCCTCGCCAATAGTTTCCATGCAGATGTCTGCAGACAGCTGTCCTTTTCTTCTGGGAGCATAAATAGTAGCTGGAATATACCCAGAGAAAAAGGGAATACTGGTAAAAGGAATTCTCCCTGGAACTCAAAAAATGGTTTTAGCATCAGGGCATTGATACTCTGAGAGTTAAATATGAACAACTAGAGTATAATGCACACCTTCAATTTTGAAGGTGTGCGTTACAAAAAAATGGATTTGTCTTCAAATGTAAGGCATAACATGTCAGTGAGGCAGAGAAGCATGAATAAGGTCATTTGGAAACCCACTCCCCTCCGTCAAGCCAAGGCTGGTGAACTTGCAATACCTAACTGGCCTCATTCAGGAGACCCTCAAATCTGAGAGGGAGGTTTTGAAGGCCTCGTGAATGAAGCCAGTGAGGAAGAGCAGGGTCACCAACCAGGCACTCATCCTTTTCCAGGCGTCCAATCTACTGCACATCTCCATTTTGACAGTGTAATTTAGCGTCCTCCCAAACAAAGAACATTAGACTGGAATAAATATGGGTAATTAACTAGAGCACTCCTACTGTAGAGCAACCTAAGTGTCCACGATATTGTTTTAAACCCGATTGCCAAAGATTCAAAGCATAGCCGACTATGGCTAGATCCACCTTTTCTAGTGAGAGGGTGCTGCTTATGAATCAGCTGAAGTGCAAGGAATCCCATATTATTAGGGAAGTCCCTTACTGGAGAACTGGAAAGCTTGCTCCTTTATAAAATCTCCCCCATTGTAAGGGATGCTGCATTTCAGCTGGAAAGTTTTTCCTTTTTATATAGACTGAACAAGGTACCAATTGTCATGATCACTCCGAATCCCCATATTTTTGGGAGTCAGTCTTTCATACAGTTAGAAATGTGTGTATCATATAATTTGCGAATTGGAATACACATCAAGGTCTTTCTTTCTGATCTTAATGAGCAAAGGATGCAGCGCCGCCGTTGTTGCTCCCTGCGGCTGCGGGGGAAGGATTGCCCAGGACCGAGAGGGAGCGTTGGGGAGCGTTGCTGCTCCAGCTGCCTGGTCCTTTGGGTTCTCCGGGCCTCCATTATTCCGGCCGCCTGCTGCTTTGGTGAAGCTTGGTGTCGGACAAGGTTGTGGGCTCCGTCCCTGCGGCTTTCGCCTGGATAGCTGTGGGGCGGCCCACGGCGCCATCTTGGACCTGGCTCTCGGCCAGCTTTCCAACGCTCTGGCCTCATCGCCCTCCAACGCGCTGCCGCCATCTTGAGCCTTGGATTGTTCGTCCAGGACCTAGCCAGCCCTTCCAACACTTGAGCATATGCTCTTTAGCAGGTCCTGGAAGCAACTCACTCTCGTTGGACAATCAGACAATAGAACTAACTGCTGGCAACGACCACCTTGCCACCAACCCCTGATGCTCATCTCCCAAAGCACTGGTCACCTGCCGCCATCGCATGAGTTTTCCATCATCTCATCTGTTAACCATCAAATCCGGAAAATTGTGTTGACCATCTCTTGGCCCGATTATTGTGGCATCTCGTTGTTTCCAATTCTGGATAGAATTTTAGATAGATTGTGCTAACCATCGTTTGATTCGTCTGTGGGGGTTGGACTGGATGGCCCAGGAGGTCTCTTCCAACTCTTTGATTCTATGATTCTATGATTGATTCTATGAACCAGCTTCTTACCTTCATATCAGGAAAAATCAATGGTGCCATGTGTATCTATAAAGTATGTCCTATTTGGCATCGTTCTCTTCCCTTCTCCCCATTTATTTTGTTTCCTATATTATTAGAATTCCTGCTTTTCTATTGTGGGAGAGGGCAGTGCTTACTAAGGCCTCATTCCTCTGGAAAGCAGTCATCGGGGAAGGCTGAATGGCATTTTGCAAAAATGATTCATTTGCAGATAGACGCATTGAACAGAGCCGGAGACAAGCAGCCTGCCAAGACTCACTGTTCCCACATCTGATCCCCAGGAAGACAACTGCTGCCCCAAATGTTGTTGGCTAACGAAGTCAGTTCTCTAGGCTTCTCTTTTCTGTCTGACATAGACCAGCAATCTTCTATTCTTTGCAATGTACAGACTTTTTGGTTTCCCTGAGGGCATGACTAGCCACCTCCAGATGTTGTGGATTAAAATCTTCCATCAGTTCTAGCTAGTGATGTGGGATTTGCTGTCTAAAACCATCTGCAAAGCCACAGCTGCTCAAAGCTCCTCTAGTCTAGAAAAGAAGGTCCTCCAAATACTATGGGGAAATCTTGACCACATTCTGATGTGGCTTGGCCACGTGTCCCAGCCTTCATCCATGAAATCTTGGTGCTGTTGAACGCCAGATCTGTCAATGGTAAAACAACTTTCATCCAGGATTTAATCCTGGATGAACGGGCAGATCTGGCGTGCATCACAGAGACCTGGCTGGACGAAGCGGGAGGTGTAAACTTGACCCAGCTTTGTCCACCTGGGTTCTCTGTGCAGCACCAACCGAGATCCGGAGGGCGGGGAGGCGGAGTTGCAGTGGTCTATAGAGATTCCATTCTTCTGACCAGGGCCCCCATCCCGCAGTCAACAAATTTTGAATGCGTCCACCTGAGGGTGGGTGACCGGGACAGATTAGGGATTCTGTTAGTGTACCGTCCACCTCGCTGCACTACAGTCTCCCTACCTGAGCTAGCAGGGGTGGTCTCGGACCTGGCATTGGAGTCCCAGCAGCTACTAGTGCTGGGGGACTTCAATGTCCACGCCGAGACCGCCTTATCGGGAGCGGCTCAGGACTTCATGTCCACCATG